TGTGAGCCCGGCGAACAAGCCAGGTATCATGTGTAAAACCCGCCTAAGTGGGCTTAGGGCACAAGGCCAACACTTCAACGTAACCTGACCTACATATTATATATGTTTACGATGTTGTGAAAACATAAATATGTAAGCACTGAAAATTGTATGCGTACCTTAAAAGGTAATAGAATTAAATATTATTATTGTTGATTTTACAATGGATTTCCTATAAGTGTATTATTCTGGGAATTATTTAACGGCTTTTTGACAGAACTTTTGTTTTATTGATAAAAATTACTTATACCGACGGGAATTGTTCACTAGCATTTTCAACTTTTTAGCTTTCTATATACAGTTTTCCATCCCTTTGAAGTAATACCTAACTTCTCATCTATATAGAATATTTCCATTTTCATTGAAAATTATTTTTATAAAAACCTAAAATCACATTCGAAAAATAAAACAATATATTTTGAAATAAATTATTTTATATTTATGTGATAACGTAGTCTTTACACTGGTACATATATCAGCATGTTTACATATAAAAAAATATATATTCACTTCAACGGAAAATAATTAAATCAAAGGGCCATTTTGAGAAATAAATACTTGAACTTTAGTACAAAAAAAAATAAATAAATAAAAGTCAGAAAAGAAAAAAAAATGCACCTACTAGTATTGAAATTAAATACGTTTTGAAACCCAAATCAACAATAATTGTTAATGTGTTAATTATTTAATGTTTATATTATTAATAATGATATGAAAATAAGATTGTGTTTTGAGCTTTAAATTTCATACACAAATTTTTCACTTCGCCGCTTCATATTTAATATCAATTTAAATGTCTGAAGTGTTGTATAAACTTTAATTTTCGTTTAAAAATTAAAGAAAAGAAAAGAGAAAATTTATAATCAGTTCCAATAATAAAAATAAAATCTAGTGACATATTTACAATCGAAATTAAAATGATAAGTGTTCGATAAGTTGCGGCGTAATCGATTTTTATTGACGCACTTCTTTTCGAAATTTCAGCAATGTACGATTATATCAAATTTTGCATAGTCTAAGTACTACTGACTAAAAAGTCAAGATAATATGTGTACTTATGTGTACTTATACATATAATGTGCTTATACAACTATACAATAATACGAGTATAATCGCACAAAAATAAACTTGTTAAAATGGAAAATAATTACTTTATGAATTTCGATAACCGCAATTCTAATCGACGATTCGGGTGTTATCAAATAAACTCAGGTGGTATGTTTTTTTATTGTTGTTTTTCTTATTCTTGTTTTATAATGTTTTGTTTCTGTTTTTTAAATCAAGTTATAACGTCATCTACGTCTTTCCCTAACAGTCGGTCAAGTTTTATCTAAAACACAATTTAAATAAAATTTCTTTTTATTTCATTTGTTAGAATTTTGTAGATAAATTACGAGTATATGTAGTACTCTAGCAGAAGCTAATCGTTATTATTTATGACGACTATGCTAACGATCAAAATAGCCAGACATTTTTAATAACACATATATGTATATATATTTGCATATATGTGTATACAGGAGCGTATACAGAGACTCATTTAAGGGGGGTTTTGAAATTAATGATATATATATATATTTACATATAAGTGTATACAGGAGCGTATACAGAGACTCATTTAAGGGGGGAATTTTTGGAACTAATTCAAAGATTGGATGAAAAACTTGAACTGAAAAAATAGCAATCATATCTAGTATAGGATGTTCCGAAATAATTTAGAGGATAGCCGGTTTGAACACCGAAACCCCCTTATATCCACCACTGTGTATGGATATATAATTATATATATATATATGTATATATATTTTCTACTACTACATATTAACCGAGATTTAATACGCATTAATGTTGTTTATATGTTTATTATCGATGGTTTAAGTTACATATTTCATAAACAATTTGTATTTAAGTTCTTTTCTTCTTAGTTTTAATTATTAAAATATTTTTATTATAAGCCATAAGAAATTATTGTGGTTTTAATATAATACAAAATCGTGTAGGAATTTAATTCATTTAACAAGTCAAATGAAATAAATTAAAATAATCATTAATAAAAACCAAACCGGTAAGTCAAGTAATAAGTTAATACTCGTAGAAGAATTAAAGTAATTCTAGTATCATAACTATCTGTTAATTGCATCTAATAATCATGAATGTATCAGTGTAGATGTTTATAGATGTTATATAATCTAATAAGGTTTTCCTGCTGTGCTTGCAATTGGGATAGGCGTATTAAAAACTATCTGATAAATTGTAATATAATAGGAATTTTTTTTATTTAAAGCGTGTCTATAAGAATTATTATGATATTCCTGGAGAGAATCTCCTAAGTTTTCTTAAATAGATTAAGATTGTTAAAACTAATAATATCTTTTAGTTTCAAAATTCAGCCATAATTGTACTATATGTAATAAAGTTGAATGAAGATACTCGATTCTTTTCTTGGCAATTGTGAGTAACAAAATGATAAAATTGGCTGAAATTTCATTCCGTAGAGGTATAGAGGTATTTAGGTACTGGTAATTAGATACTAGAATCGTTTCCTGTACCCCTGCAGGGTACGAGCAGATAATATTGGCAGCAGTTTCCTTCTGCAGAGATAAATTAGTATTTCGTTGTACCAGGTTAAAATTGAATTTAAAAAGCTATGATAATTTCCTTAAAAAGAGATTGCTCGCATTAAAAGATTGATATTAAAACCATGCTTACTTACTTATTTGGACATAACAACCCGTTACCGGGTTACCCCTTACGCAGCATGTTGGTCCTGCGCCTCTGCTGCGTGCTCGCCTTCTCCAGTCTCATACATCAAGTCTGGTTAGTGCACCCTCAACTTGATCACACCACTGGAGACACGGTCTACCTCTACACCTTCTTTCTGTAACTATTGCTTCAAATACCTTTTTCGCTGGAGCATGCATAAATGCTATTAATGACAATACATATTATTTAAAGTGGGTATGCTTATACACTCCAATATAAAGAACGAAATAAAGACTTGTAAAACTAGTAGCTCCAAATAATTCTATTTTATTTTCGTGAGAACCATTAGAAACAGATGATACGTTCCAGAATGTCCTTAATGACAAATTTGTTACATTCGTTACTGCTGATAATAATTAGCTTAGTTAGGATAGGTGTATAAAGATTCTTTGTTAAAATACTACGCATAAATCTAAAGCTTTCCATACTTTGAGTGACATATTATTATTAATAAATTTTTTTGTATTTATGAAATTAGAATTTGATGGAAGTGATAAAAAAAAAGATCTTAGTCAACTAACAGTACTAGGTTAGGTTATACAAATCACTAAAGTCAATTCTATCAAATAATGTTTTTAGTAACTTTGATAAAAAACTATTGGACGTCTGCGTATATATATATATATATAAATTGTTAGCGATGTAGTAAATAGCCGTAAAACATGGGAGAAGAACGTGCTAAAATAGATTTAGTTTACAACCTTTGAGTTGACTAAGGTGATAAAAGGGTTCCGTTTGATAGTCATGATAAAAATAGATGGGTGTGCGTGATTGGGCAAATGGTGTATCAGTACAGGAAAAATGGAACGCATTGGTTATGTAAGCAATAATCCACCAAGGACTGTAACGATAAGAAAGAAGAAAATGTAACGAAAATGAATTTTCATATTGTCGTTATTCATAGACAACAATAAATAGCTGAATCAGTGATATAGGAGGCAAATAAGTATGCGTGTGCCTAAGCCTGGGTATCAAATCGGGAATAATCATACGTTTTGATTATGTTAGCACTGAATCACGATTCAAAATTGAACATTAAAGCAAGTGAATATAGTTATTGATCGACAACAAGGAATAGATAGATCGGTCTATGGTGTAGGAGAGAATTTAAACAAAATAAATGTATATGATTAGGCAGTCGATATCTGATATATCGGGGATTGTGGAACTTTCCAACGACTGCTAGGATGAAAAATAAGAGGATATAAAGCAAACAAGTATAATTATTGATATCGTTATGCTATGTTTCTGAACATTTGTGAAATTAGTATTTAGAACTTATGATTTACTAATTTCAAAAATGCCGGTAGAAGATACGAAAGTAAAGAACAATGGTATCAAGATAACATACACATTGCGCATTTTTTAAAGTTAATTATGGATTATTAAGTCATAAAAGCTTTGCAGTTAATAAACTTTATATATTATAAATATATTACATACTTCAAAATAATATACGACCACACTAAGAGATAGTGTGGAGCTTAAACACGAAGACCATTTTAATGTGTTATTATTATTATTATTTTATGATTACTTTCATTAAAAGTGTTTAACGTTTTAAAAAAAGTTTTTATATTCTGTGTTAATGTTAAAAAGACTTGACCTAATTCGTAAGTTCCGCCAATATTATTATTTTAGCGATGAAATCAAATTCATATATATGTTATGCATATAATATGTATATATAAATATATTACTTTATTTTCTTAAAAATGTATATTTAATCAGAAATGATTTGATTAAGAACACGCAAATGTATATGTATTTTGATAATAACTATAAAACACTCATCAAATTTTTTCAGTTAATTAAAATATATCTTGACAAATATTTGAATTGAAATTTAGAAAAATATATATTAATTAACACGTGGTAATTCTTGAGAAAGAAGTGAGTGTCTCCAAAGCAATAAGAAAAAATTCAATTCATTAAGAAAAAATGAGTTAAATAATTTACTTTGTATTTGATGAACAAATAAAATTGTTTTTTTTTATTAATTTTTTCTTCATAGAATTAGTAACGTATTTCTATAAATATTAATGTATATTATATATGTATGTATGTTCTAATATAAAAATTGAAATAGATGTTTGATGACATAATGACTTAAATTTTTTTTTTTAAATATACGTCATATTTGCAAACTTTTTTTAAAATAACTTATTATTTTATATATCTTTTCTTATTTATTGCAGGTCGCGGTAGTTGGGCCGATGATATAGGATTCGATTTAAATGCAGAATTTAATAGCAACTCATATCTTAATAAGTAAGTTCTCTCGATATTTAGTATTGTTCTAAATGTATATACTTATCTTACATATGCATATTTTTCTATATATATATATATATATTAATCCGTTTGTAATTCCTTTTGAAGTGAATTTTTGTCGTTCTCTCCTAACCTGACCGTGCTTAAACAAGAGCCTCAAACTGAGCAATTAAAGGTGAACAAAAGTCTATTGAACTCAAACACTGTTGGGAATATATCAAAGACCGACAAATCAACTTCAGCAGATGATCCAACATTAAATAATCAAGATCAAACAAAAAATGAGGTGAACGACAAATCGTGCAGTTGTGGCTCGCCCCAGAGTACGCAACAAGGTTTTGAACAGAACTTGACAATTGTCGATAAGCGTATCAATGACGTTCCAGATTTTGACAACAGCAATGCACCAAGCGCTGAAAAAACACAATGTAAGTACAAAAAAAAAATTAAGTTTAAATTAAAAATTATAAAAATATATTTGTAATTGTTTTCAATGAGAATATTGTAGCTTTTAATAAATAATCTATAAATCTATAAAAAAAAAATTATGTTTTTTTTCCGCAGCACAGAGCAATGTCGTCGTTCAGCAATTAAGTGTAATTGATGCCAATAAAATTGAGAACTTACCAATTGCCACAACTAATTCTGACGATCACAAGTATGAAACTATCTTATTTATATTTTTTAGAAGATATTGAACCCTATTTTTGCAATTTTTAGATTTCAGTACATTTTGGCAGCAGCAACGTCTATTGCAACCAAAAATAATGAGGAGACCCTCACTTATTTGAATCAGAGTCAAAGCTATGAAATAAAATTGAAGAAAATCGGAGATCTTTCTTACTATCGGGATAAGATTCTAAAGGTAAAAGAAGTCATAAATAATTATGCCTACAATGAAGCAAAAATGAAACTATTTTAAAAGATTTTAATCAATTGCAATATATAGTCAAATTTTCATAATTCGAACTTCTATAACTCAAATTTTCTATAACTTAAACTTAATAGAGTGCAACAAGGTTTATAGAGCAAATTAGATACAATCACAAAAAAAATTCTTTATCTCGAAGTATACATAAGTCGAACCTTTTCTTCGAGTTATGAAAGTTTGACTGTATCTATAGATAGATAGATGGATATAAATATGGATAGAATTGTTCTATAGCAATTGTGAAGGATATAAATAAAAATATAGAATTTAATTATCAGTTGTTGAATAATTGAAGCGAAAATTAATTAGATTAATTAAGAATGCTGTTTAATAATATTTGTGCCTAATACACGCTCCATCACGCTTATCAAGAGCAAAGACTGAAATAATTGCTAATATGTATAAATGTCTAGAATAACGTATAAACTTTTTTTTCAAGATTAAATTTGTTTTACATTACTTGTTGCAATATTTAAAGAACAATTCTGCAATACAAAATATATTTAGACATGATAACTTATATATACTTTTTAAGATTAGCTTAAAACCGAAATATTGCCTTGTAACTGTGAGGTTGTTAAATCCTTACTTGTCAATATTGTTTGTAAAAAATATATAGAGATATATATTTAAATGAAAAATACTTTTTTCATTTAAATATATATCTCTATATATTTTTTACAAACAATATTAAAAATTTAATAAAATAAGTAAAGATCTTAAAAGCGATATATATTGAAGTATAGAAAAAGAAGTGTACATTTAGAAAAAAATATATAATTATTTTTGAGAACTATTTCTGCGATATTTATTAAAATAATTTGTTTGAAATTTGAAAACATTATTTGGTATTAATTTTAGGGATTTTAATTTTAATTTGCTATAATATATTTTCAATATCAAATGTTACATTACATTTTAAAAGGGCTGGAAAATTGTCACCATGTCACTGCATCCTTTGAGGATTATTGTTACAAACCCACTTTAGTTCCATAGACGAGTAACAGTTGAAAACGTCATTATGTCCCTTGGAGAGATGTTGCCTAATTCCGTTATACGTGGATAGGCAGTTGATATGTACTAAAGTATGTGTATGGTGAGACTATCACAGTGACACAGAATGTTTTCTGCTGTCTTCTCTTCTTCGTAACAAAGTCTGCAGTTATCGTCTCTTCTAATACCTAGGTTCGATTTTACTCTGCAATGTCCAGTGAGAAACCATGTGACAAGTCGGATGTCACTACTCTTCAGCATTAGAAGGTCCTTCGTTGTGGCTTTTAATCGACGTATAACGTGTATCAAACATACTATATATTGAAAGTTTATATATTTTTAAATCATTTAAACTCCAATTGTTTATAAATGAGCACGTAGCCATTATTTATGCACAATGATAGTTTAATAAAATTAGTTTTTTTTTTCATGTCTGAAATTATCTGAAACACCACCGCTCCCTATCTATTTTAACCATTTCTGGCTACGGACCTGTGTATAGTTTTATAGAACACATTTTTTTGTATATGGGTAAGGTATTCGCATTGGATAGGCTGAAAGTATAATACTACGATAATAATATGCTACGAGAACTAAAATATTTGCTATAAAACATTATTTTATTTTTTTATAAATTTAATTTTTATAATTTCTTCTTTATATATATAAATATATATAGTAGATATATTTATCTATAAATAGTAATATTGTAGTTCCCATGCGAAATGTCTTTAAACTCATTTTGTTGTTATGACGCTTCTTTATATACATATATATATATGTATATATAGATAGATATATATAGTAATATAGTAGTTCCTATGCAAAATGTCTTTGAACTTATTTAGTCTTTATAGCATTTTATTACAGATTTGATTCCTAAACTTAAATTTTTGTTCTACAAAAGCATTAATTTATTAAATATTCTATTTTTAGTATTTTATTTAGACGAATTTTTATTATAAAAATTGATAAGTTAGTTGAAAATTTTAAAATTTCTACATTGACTTAACTATAGCTCTATTATAAATAAGTTAATTGGTCTTCGAGGCAAAGTTTGTGCGTCACACGATTTCAAAAAGTTCAAATTAATTTGCAAAATATTTTTAAAATGCTTGTGATCATTTACATATTGTAGTAATATCATTGAAATGATATCATTCATGTCTTATTCACAAGATTTTAATTTCTATTTTAAATTAACTCAATTGATTTTAATAAGTACCAATTAAAATAAATTTGAAGACTGAAGACTGGCAAAATAATTCTGCAATTTATCAAATTGAAATTGTCCATTGTGACTTCAATAAAATAAATTGTGACTCGTGCAAAAAAAAAAAAATAAATAAAAACAAATAAGAAGAAAACAAAATCATTTAAACAAGATCCATTTAAACTATCTTAGTTTTGTTAAGTTTTTAAACTTTGAACTATTTTCACAATTCCAATGTTCAATGTCCAAAATCAAATGTTAAATGTTTTATTTTGTTGTTGTTTTTGCATTCTTTGTAGAGTGTTATAAAGATTTGCTTTCATGAGAGACGTCTGCAGTTTATGGAGCGTGAACAAATGCAACAATGGCAAGCATCCCGTCCTGGTGAACGTATCATTGAAGTTGATGTACCGCTTTCATATGGTCTGTGCCATGTATCACAGCCCTTGAATCAAAGCTACTTGAATACTGTTGAAATATTTTGGGATCCATTGAAAGAAGTTGGTGTCTATATAAAGGTTAATTGTATTTCTACGGAGTTTACAGCAAAGAAACACGGCGGCGAAAAAGGTGTACCATTTAGATTACAAATTGAAACTTACATTGAGAACCCGAACGGTTCTTCTAATAATCAAACTGCTGCTACGCAAGCATCACCAAACGGTCCAGCAGTATCTCCAAGCCCTAGCGGCACTTTAACTCCAACAAATAACTTATTAGTTGGCATGAAACAGCCAGTTCATGCTGCAGCTTGTCAAATTAAGGTTGGCAATTTATTTATTTATTAAAATTAATTGTTTTTAATTAAAATTATTGTCTTTGCAGGTTTTTAAATTAAAAGGCGCTGATCGTAAGCATAAACAAGATCGTGAAAAAATTCAAAAGCGTTCTCCATCGGAACAAGAGAAATTCCAACCAAGCTATGAATGTACAATCATGAATGATATTCCGCTCGATTTAATTACATCATCAGCTGGTTGCTACAGTCCAGAATAGTAAGTTTATGTTAATAATTTTTTATTATTTTTTAATTAATAATAAACAATATAATTTATTTTAATTATTCGTGATTAATTGTTCTGACGGTTCGTAATGAATTTATTACTATATTTCTTAATTGATCCATTTATATTGTTAATGTTCTTACACGTGCCATTTCACTGTCCTCACTGTCCTTCTGGCCATTAAGACGCCAAGGGTTGTGGATAGTCGTCGTGGACTTGTTATTGTGATAAATGATTTTGGGGCTTATGAAACCGATCCATTATAGTTTTTATATCATATAATAATTTATAAGCGGGCTAATTGGTCATTTAAATATAAATAAAAAAAACCTTTAATTAAATTTTTATATTTAAAAACAAATTATATTTTATTAAAATATTTTTCCAAAATTACGACTTTCTTCGACAGTCATCTTCAGGGAAATTGAACATGTTTCATGTTAACCCGCTAATATATCATTATATATTATTTTTGGTCACAAATAAAAGAATAAAATATTCTTTATAAATATCACAAATATCACAAATATACAAATATAATATAAAATATTTTTATATCATAGTTATGGAATCAATATGTTTTTATTTTGAATTGGTTTATAAAACATATTTTATCTTCCATCTAGTATCGAAGTATACATTATTATATGGAAAAAATAAAATGAAGGACAATTTTTAATTATATTTAAAAAGTATGAATATACTGTGATAATAAAACTACTTACTCCTTTGGGAATAATGCTAGTTATTGAGATTTGGAGGTTTTGTAATTAATTATTAATAGATATTCTATGTATCTACTTTTGAAGAAGTGGCGATATGCTCAAAAAAGTATGAAAATTAATATTTTTAAAAGAAGTTCATTATAACAAATTTTTATTTAAAATTAAATTTACAATAAGGATTTTGTTTAATTTCTTTTAAATAAAAAGCCGAATTATTTACTTAAATTTCCCGAGCAATTATTTTAAAAAATATTAACGTCATTTACTGTAGTAATTAAACCAGATATTAAAAATGGTGTCAATAAAAAGTGAGCTCAGTAACTTTTTAATATTTTTGTAAAATACACATTAAAATAAGCAATAGCCAAAGTATCAACGTCAACAATAAAACAAGGAAAAAATAAGAATTGCCAAAAATGAGAAAAATATTTTATTGTAATAACAAATTTTTTTAATTTACTTGACATATTTACTTTGAAATAAACAAAAATAATAGCGTCAACTAACAACATCAAAGGATTAAAGTATGAAAAAGAATTGTATTTAAAAAAAATGTGCCAGCTAATTGCACTATATTAGAAAAGAAAAATGATTGAGAACTTTTATAGAAAACCTCTTTATAAGTATTTTCGTTGGTGAAATCTTTATTATTAAAAATATTTGTAGCTCATTAACGATAGTTTCGATAATTTACTGCAACCCCACAAAATAAGTTCTAGGATATAGTGTTTTATTGTTGATATGATGAGATTAATGGCTCGATTGTTTTTCGAGTTAATTTTGTCTATTTTACTAATGACTTCGTCTTCAAAGAGTTTATATGTTAGTTGATACATCAATAATATAATTTTCTCTCCCAATTTCACAATTCGACCAATTCAGCATAATGAAGAGACTGTATGCTTCTCTCTACAAACGAGCATTAACTTAAAATCGAATAGCAACGAATAACTGCAACGTGACCAAAGAGAAGGGAGCAGTTCCTAAAAGTGTAACCGAAATAATATTTTATATAATTTTCATAATGAGGAAAATTTCCATAAGATAATTCTCACACCTCTTAAAGTTTGTCCAAAGTAATATTTCATATTTAAAAGAGGTTCTGTGAGTAATAAAAGGTACTAACTCAGTGACTGAAACTAGAATTCCTGTTTAATGACCCTCTTAATAAGAAATAAACGCAATTATAGATTTTGAGCAAACCATTAATTATTAAATTTGAATAATCTTTTTTCTTTTCAATTTTTAAGAACGAAAATTGTTTCCAACATCTTTTATATGCCCTGCATTCCTATACCGCTTTCTAACAATGCCCATAGACAGAGATACTAAGTTTCTACTCTAACATAAGTATAAACATGTTACGACTATAGCTATACACCGCAAAAATTTCTAAAGTAATCTAATATTAGTATAGTCCAAAAACTATGTATCTAATTCCAGGAGCAATGGTTCCCGACTTTGCTCAAGTGCCTCGATTCAATTATACTAAAAAGATGAACGTTCCGGTTTGAAATCGGTTCATTTTAGAACTGGTTTACTCCGTGATAACCACTGCTAAGATGATATATTGATACTATTCAATTTAGCCACTATCATAATGGAATATATGAAGTGATCCCAATACAGATTTTTTTCTTAATTGTAATTTTGCAAATATATCAGTTTGTTATATTAAACTATAGATTTCTTAAAATTTTCATATGTATATCAAAATGAATAAGGAAGAACCGAAATTTAATCTTATTGGAAGCGTATAAAAGTTTCATATATGATCTTATCGATAAGACAATGGTTGTATTATCGTGTTTGTTAAAATGTTGGTCGGACATTTAACAATAGTTAAATGGATTTTACTCTGTTAATACAACTCTGTTTATATATGTTAATTATCAAGAGTACAACGCTTGATCATTGATCTTATTAACATTATTATTGCTTGAAAAAATAATAATATACAATATCAATGATATGATATTAAGTCCACATAATGCTCGCATTGATTTAATTAATTTGATTTCGATCAAAATTAAATTACAAGGAATTATACTAGATGGATAAGGATATAGGATATATGATATATGATAGATATAATTAGAGCTAGTTATTGTTGTAGCAACGCTTTGGACAAATCCTTTTAGAGCTAGTCGAGTTGGTAGATTTTATATTGTTCTATAATATCTTTTCAATTATTGTTGAAGACTATATGTATTTGAGTCATCTTAGTTCAATAATAAATAAAATTGTTATCGCAGAATTTATGATATGCAGATAGATAAATGAAATTATTTAGGTTTCTTTATAACGAACACCGAAAACTTCGAAGAAAGTTCCAACGCGTAAATTTATTACTTTAAAATTAAAATATACATAATCAAAAAATTTGAACCTTAAGGATTCCATGGTCTGTTTGTTGAATAAGCATTCGCGTGCTTACAGTAAATCTCGTGTAAATAATCTCCAATACGTGTCTGACTTACTTTGACAACGATCCAGAACCAGTTGTAGAAGGACAAATAAATTAAGTAGAAGACGATAAAGATCTCCTACTCAATGGGTGGAGCATTTTCCACCTTTGATTGAAAAAACGAACACAATATAAAATCGTCAAGATAATTTATCGCAACAAGTAATATGCATTTATAATAAGCTACCTAAGAAGAAAAATAACTGAGCGTTGTTTATTAATAATAAATATTTATTAATTGTTAGTATATCTAAAATAATGACTTCCACAACAATATTAACATACTTACTTTTAAAACCTTGTATTAATTAACATACTTACAATTTTAACTTTTAAAGTAGATAGGTTATATAGGTTGCATTGGAAAAATGTTTTTTTCAATATGTTCATTGTAGTTTATTTTGTTTTATAAATAGACTTTTAGTATTCTATAAAGTAAAGGTTAGGTTACAACTATTATTGAAAAACTGGTCGTTCTTTCAATCGTTTCTTCACTAAACATAATCAATATCATTCATTTCATTATTTAGTGTATATGTGATTCTTGCTTAGAATTGTTGTTAGAAAACTATCCGCTCCTTAAATAAATTCTCCGCTTAACATAATCAATATAATTAATTTCGTTACTTCTAATAATTATGATTCTTGCCTACAACTATAATAAAACACAGTCAACATCTTTGACTTTATAATTTCTGATATTTATGATCATACTCTTTCTATTGTATTCAGCCATCGATTCTGCAATTAGAACTTTGCCACAGAGCCACCTAATTTTGCTTGAGGAATTAACTTAACCCTTGTTGATTCTTGTTAAAAAACTGGTATATTATCAATCCAGTATATCTTAGACCTTTCTTTTAGAGCGTTTCTCTCTTACTCATGGTTTCGGATGTTTATTATTAGTCTGCTTATATTATATTCATCCATCAATTCTGAAATTTTAACAGTGCCCAGGGCCATAATTTTTCTTTAAGGATTTAAGTGTATTGTCATCCTACATTTATTATTAATTTACTTCTATTTTATTCATCCATCGATTCCGCAAATTTAACATTGCCCCAGGGCCATTATTTTGCTTTAACTATTTAAGTGTATTGTCATCCTATGGTTGGGGAACGTTCCTAAACTATCATATAAATTTTATGTACTTTTACAAAATGGACGATAGTCTTATTTTACGATAACTGCTTTAGTGTGGTTTTTGGAACGAGTTCTGAAGGTGTTTATAAAAAATATAGTATTTAGTAAAACACAGTTTCTTTACTTTTGGATTTCCCCATTTTATTTGAATTTGTTCATTTTCAGCCATTTTGATAAAATATTATAGCCCTAAAAGTTGTTTTGATATCTCATTATTCGAAAGCTCATTATAAAAATAAAAAAAATAAAAAACAAAAACAAAACAGTAAAAAATCTCAATAATATTATTTGTTATATAAATCATTTGAATACTAATTTATGTTAATAATTTCACAGAAAAATACGATAATGTCATTTTGTATAAATTGAATTCTGTTGTTTTTATATTTTAAGCAAGGTAGCAGATATAAATTGCGTCAATGCCTCCTCACCGCCATATAAACTGAATCGTATAACCTCTTAACGATAAGTGTTTACGTCAAGAAGAAAGACGGTCATTATATGGCACTGGCCAGCGCTTAGGGCTTAACGTCGCTGTCTGTTGCATACTCAAGCAATGAGGACATCTATTTTTATATTGGAGATAAAGATAAATACTTTTTCTTGTTTCTTTACACATTCACACACAAACAAGATAGCCATTACAGGCAATGTTCGCAAAGTGCTCTTAGCAGCACTATGTGTGCGTTCAGTAACCAGTAACCGGTTTTAGGTGCTTCAATAAGAGAGCTGTTGCAATTTTTTTGTAGATAGTTTTTTATGGCCAATTTAAAGTGTTTCAGATATAGCAGCGTGAGGGGCTAAAATCTATTTTTATTCTTTCATTCGCTGGCGAAAAGAGTCTTTTTTCCTGTTAAGAGACTTCGGTTTAAGCAGTTTTTATTTATACGTGAAAGAGCAATAAATTTGCTCTGTTAGCTTCGTTAGCCATTTTCGCCAATAATTATTTGGCTTGACTTGTTTTCATTTTGGTCTTCATTTAATATCCGATGTTCTGTTTGTTAACACAGTGAAGAGTTTCAGTTGAGAATTTTTTATTATTGAAGCAAGCCAGTTTTGTAAGTAAAATATTCAGGAATTTATTTCCAACTGCAAATATTAAATTATGTGCATTTCATTATTTATTGATATTTAATTTTACTATTTTTTTTTGTTTCCAGTATGAAAATTTGGCCGAATTCACCAGTACACATTCCGAAATACGATGGAATTCTACCATTTACAAGCTCATCACCAGCAACTGCCAATTCAAGTCCAATTCAAGTTACTTCAACCAATTCACCATCACTTAAGCTAATGGAGGCAAACATGGTCTCACCACAGCAGGTGACATCGGAGGTTGAAGAATATGTATGTATTGGTCCGATTACAATCGGTGTGTATAGGGACTGTTTTGAAAGCATTCAAAGTGTAAACAAAATATTTGTATTTCAAAAAAAAAAATTCTTTTTTAAATAATTTATTTTTAAAACTTAAATAATTTACGTTTTGAATAGTTTTACATAGTCCCCATGCTCGTGTGCTATATCGAATAATCTTTACTATTTATTTTATTTATTTTAGACTACAAACATTACTCCTGAAACTACTCCAGTACAAGTTACTCAATGGCTTACAAATCATCGTTTAACTGCTTATCTTACAACATTTACCCACTTCTCTGGGTCTGATATCTTGAGGTAAGTCACTTAAATATAAATATTAGTATGAAAAAGATTTTTATTATGTATTTTATAAACATCTTTTCTATTCTAAAATGGTGAATTTAAAATTGTATTTATGTAAAAAAGTTTTTTTTTATATTGTTTAACTTCTGCAGAAGTTAAATCATTGTAACGAGTAACCACATGACTTTCAAACAAGTTTGGTTTTATATAAAATACATTTACTTCTGCGAAGCAAATATTTACTGCTTGTTAGTGGGTGCCATAACGAATTGGCACACTCTGAAAATATATATTATACAAATATACTCCAGTATGTTTATTTTGAGGACCAATTGGTACCTTTTTTCCCAGTAGCGCGCGGGTTTTACACCCCACTTATTACTACTCTACTATTGAATACATATGCCTTCACTATTAAACGACTCAGAGTCACGGTTAAGTAGTGCTTTACGTTAGATGAGCATTTTTTTATCTACCACTACGACACTTAAAGTTATATCTATCTTCACTTTTGTTCGACTTAATCCAATAATAGGATTGGACTCTTATTTATTTAATTTAGTAGTATTTAAATAGTATATTTCAATTAAATTTATTTCAATTAAAATATGAAGAAAAAACTTTTTACATAGAGAAGGGATATATTTAATTTTGATTAAATATATATCGGGGGGTTGAGTGCCCCTAGGAAAATATTTAATTTATGGAACCCGTTTGTAATTTACAAAATTGTTTGCATAAGCAAGTCTAGAAAAGAAATTTATATTAAAAAATAAATAAGTAAGCTAAATATATAACACATAACATATTGATACATGTCATCAAATCTTGATAACACATTAGGAGTGAATCTATCTTACCGACACTTGCTTGTCTTGTTTTTTGGAATGCAATCTTATAAACCACATATTTAGAATACATAAAATCATCAAATCCTTACATTTATTTTTAAAAATTTATTTAAATGTTTGTCATTATTAATATAATTATTAAAAAACATAAACAATTTAAATGATAAATTTTTTATTAAATTAATTAATTTTTTTTAGAATGTCGAAGGAGGATCTAATACAAATATGTGGTCTTGCAGATGGAATTCGCATGTTTAACATACTTCGTGCAAAGTAAGTTTATGTACAGATAGTGGCATACCCTACAAACGGAGTAGGGGAGCGATAGGAAGAATAAATCTTCAAATTTTAAAATTATAGCTAAACAATTCGATGTTATTGCACTAAAATCATATATCTGGTTTTAATTTTTAGACAAGACAGGTTTCAATCTATTAATATCATTTAGGGACAACTATTGTCTCGCATATACTTTTAGTGGGGCCATACAACTATTGAACTATTACAGTACAATCGGATATCTAGTTTTAATTTTTAGACAAGACAGCTTTCAATCTATTAATCTCATTTAGGGACAAATATAGTCTTGGATATACTTTTAATTGGAACAACACCTTTTACCTTTTCTTTTTGGTTACGCCCAAGAAAAAAGCTGTAGTTTTTAAATTTCTAAAAAAAATTATTTAAAAATATAATGTGGAAATTTTTTAATTCAAACAATTTTCTAAATTTTAATCAAATGAATTTTTGAGCTTACCATTAGACTTTTTGGGATATTGCCAAACATCCATCATCAGTGGTGTTTGAAAATATGTATTGGTTCAATGTAGACGTATGCAATTTTTGGACTGTGTCTAGAATTGATCCCAGTCAAATTTGAGCCGTGGACTCGCGTGTTCACTTAACACTTCAACGTACTCTTCATTTGCCTCTTTCAAATTTATAGTGTTAATGGCTATTTGACGATATCCGAAACAGAAGTATAATCAGCTCAAGAATCCATGTCATAGAACATAAATAATTTTTAATCATATATTTTATATCGAACAATTGTTTCGCCTTCATTACTTTTGAAAAAAATTTTATATACCGACTAATTAAATATTAATTGAAATTTAGTTATTTACATATATCCTTTCTTGCAGAGCAATTAAACCACGCCTGACAATTTACGTTAGCATTGATGGCCATAACTATAATGCAATCTATTTAATAGCAAATACCTCTAAGGAATTAACACAGAAGCTTGTTAAAATTCCGGGCTTTTATGAAATGGTTGCCAACTCACCAACCAATAACACATTGGAAAATGGTGCCTTGTACAATAACTGGAGCATGCACTCAAAATACTCTGGCAGTGGTTCCAATATATTCAATGATGCCAATAAAAACTTTATATACGTGGTCGGCCCATCCGGCATACACGTGACCGTGACCGATGAAGTCCTGAACAATGAAATCAACGATGGCAGTCTCTATGCCCTCGAAGTACAAAGTGGAAAAGTTGTTATGAAATTTATCAATAAGAATGAAAACTAATCAATCGAAATTTATTTTGTGTAGCATTTATTTTAATATTTTGAAAATATTTTTTTTTATAGTTTTTGAATGAAATATTTGTATGGTTTTCGTCATTTTTGTTATAATTTTTAGCAACTTTTTTTTTTAAATTTAAAGCTTTTCTTCATTAATTTGTTAACATCAAATCATACGGTGATGGAAAATATTTGAGTAGAATTTACTTTTTTTCGTATTTAATTAATATAAACTAAAATTTCCCCAAAGTTTTAGTTTCATTTTACAATAATTTTGTATCATAATTTTAAGACAAAATCCGAGTCAGGCCTATTTTACCATGAATATTCAATGGATGAACAATCAAACTAACAACCAAACAACATTTCAATTTTAATATTAATTACATTAATTGTTAATATTAATAAAATTTGTAATTTTCAATGTGTGTTATATTTAAAGCAAATTTGGTAAAATAAAATAAACATACATGGTCTGCAAAATGTTTGCTTCCTTTCATTTGAACAAGTTTTTCATTTTTTTTATTAGTTGACATCAGGTAAATATTTTCTATTAATTTTAAATATTTGTCTACTATAACCCTGGCTTCTAAATATCCACGTCTGACATGGCTGACATCGATTCCATGATCTTGAAACTATCTCTAAAATCAAAAGTTTAAAATAAAGATATTTTGAGTCGTCATTCATTTCCATTTTTACTATGGTTACATTCTTATTTGTAACAATTAGCGTATGTAAACCTGTATTCATCAATAATAGGCCAGTTGATTCTAAAACATGCTTTCCCAAATTACGAGAAATGGGGAATCAAAACTATTTATTTCTTACTAATTGTATTGAGATTCCCAATGGAATTGAGAGGATTGTGTTTTTTCTTCTACCTCATTTATCTACAAGTTAGCTTTTATATATTGTAGCAGATAGAATATTCGAACGGCCGAGTTCAAGTGCCGGATTTTACAAACAGATCCCAGTGGGTTGCAACAACAATAACATTTAGTCATCTGTCTTGATGAGTAGTTAAGGATATAACTATTATTATTATTAGAAAGAAAAATGTTACACTATGACTAGTGAGATTTATTGTGTTATCACTATAGAAAGTCCGCTAAATAAAATTATATTATTAACAAATCTAAAAATGTCTATTGGGTCTCATTGAATGCAATGAATTTCCTGGTTGAGATTTACGACTTCATAACATATATACCACCGCTCTTATTTCCACAACTTGATCAATTTTAAGCGTCTTTTTCAGTGCAACTTCATCTTGTATCCTTATGACATTGTAGCAGTATTTTTATTCATTATTGAGGAAAAGCTTATATAGCTCATGATTTGTATGGATACATACATGCATAATCGGTTACGTGTGGTTCATCAATCCGTATTAGCAATTAAACAGAAACAGATATTATTCAATAAATACGTATGAACTGACCATTGTTTTTGGAAGTGTAATTTTATATGTTCCTTTAATGATTGTGTTGGAACCATTATCTTGCTTGTAAAATTATATATGCAAACATCTACTGATATGACTGTTATGAACACAAATTTGGAAACATAATTATAGACCATAAGAACACTGGTGTAACAAACGTTTTATCTCCAAATTACCTTTAAATTTTGATAGAATTAAAAAATAGTAATCGGACGCAAGTCCATATAAAAATGTGATTTGATATATTCTTATAAGTGCAAATATTGAAATTTATTTTTTTTAAAATTAATCTTTTTATAACTGGAATATACATAAAATTATTTCTATGAATTATACAAGATTGCTTTACTCATTATTGATCCACATTTTCTGGGTTTTCAGTTCTTTGTGCTTCTTTATATTGGTCAATAAAAAAATCGGGACTTTTACCCATTATCTAAAATTACAAAATTTAATATGTCATAAAATATATATATTAGAAATATAAATACATTTGCTGTAGCATTTAAAATGTCCATTTTTGTATATTCTACAGTACTGCGATAACCCCAAGAGTAAATAAACCTACAATAAACTTTTAAAATTATACAAATTCAGTGTTTGGTTATGGAATACGAACTGTGTTTCAGCATCGACGTCGGAATGCCTTTTTTCTCGTTTCAGGTACAACTGTTTGATAAAAGTGTCAGTAATTAATTTTTTAACATTACCGAAAAATGGGTGATTTTCATTTACATTAATATCAAGAGTATATAAAAATTTCTCCAAACGTTCTAAACAAATTAAAATGAAACTATTGTATTTGATAACAGTTCTCTCATGTACGATTTTATACCTTCTTGCAATGGCGATTGAATCATAAAGATATATGCTAAAATTATAAATAACAGTATTTGTTCTCTTTTTTGTTTTTCGTCAAGTTGCAATGGTGTTACTCCACAAAGCTCCGAAATGCATATATACCGCTTGGGTGAAACATTAGGTACAACTTGAAGTATTATACCGAAATTCTGTTCAAGTAAAGAAAAATAATAAATTTAAAATATAAATAATACAAATAAATATTTTCTTTACGTACTTACCTTTTTCAATATTTCACCAACATGTTCTAAAGGCACTGCAAGAGATTTTGAAGGCACATTAGCAATTTGCGCCATATCGCTCGCCTTTATTGGTATTTTGGATGCAGCATTATTAAGTATAAATTGTACCAAGCAATTCGCTATATTTCTTTGACTCAACTCTTCCATATTTGATTATATCGCATTACCCGCTTTAATCAGACGATAATATATAAACAAACAAAAAATGACAGCAAGCAAATTTCATAAAGTATGTCGCGTTACCAACTACTGAAAATATGTTTTATTAATTAGGGTGTGTTCAATTAAAACGTTTACGATTGGACGAATATGATTACATTTTTAATTTAATATTAAACCTTTTTGGTGGCTCCCAAGTATGGCAAAAAATGCATACTATATTGGTTACACGAGTCATTGGTATCACTGTTGCAATCTGTCAAGTGTTATGTTTCGACAAATAGTAAAAATAGCATAAGCAAATTACATTTGGTATAAAATAAAATAATTAACATAGATTGAAAGTTACAATCTATGTTAATGAATACTAAATTAACAGGAATGGAAAAAATGTTGAAAATTTCAAAATAGAACATCGAAATTTTTGTTTTTTTTCCAATTTTTATATATATGAAATGTTTGAATTCTGTTTGAATTTTTATTTACATATAATTTTTGACATATGATTGCAATATTCGTTGGAATTTCCAATGAAGGTTCACAATAGTTCACTTATTGCGTTGGTAACACTTTTTTTTTACTGGCCGAGGTAGAGAAAATAGTGTTGTTGTTTTGCGTACATTTCAGCCAGTATAGGCCAAAATTGCTATTTTTTGACGTATTTTGACGTATTATTCTTATCTCTTGTTTGTTTGACTTGCTTATTACTGTTTATTTATATTATGTGTTATGTGTCAAATTTCGATAGTTTCATACATTTTTTAATGGTAATACGTCATTAAAGCGTAATTATATTAATTAACATTAAATATAACTTTTGTTTATTTAACAGATCAAGAGTACTTTATTAGCAACCATTTAGCAACTTTATAAAGTATTCACAAGAACATTCCAATGTAGAAAAATCACAACGTTCTAAAAACGATATTGTAAACTTTAATTATATTTAATTTTTGTTAGTTTGTTTTTATTTTTCCGGTTGGTAAAAAGTATCGACTGAGAAGCTTATTTGAGTAATCAGTGGAGAATAAGATTTAGTAATAGAAAATTAAATTTATCTGAGTCAAAGACCATGGACAACAAGGTACATAAGAAAAGATTGGTAATAAAGATGAAAAGGTTATTGCGCAAACACACAGTCATCACTTTACATATTCTATTTAACACGGCGATCATGAAAACCGCGGTATAAAGATCAATGGCCGGAGCAACTGAATGCAGTTCAATGAAGTACAATGAAAGATATCGGAGAAGCATGTACCACCTCAGAGATATGGAAGGATACTAGAAACCAGAACATTGACATGCGGATTATGTAACTAATCATGTAATCTCTAAACAGGTCACATTAATTTCTGGTATACGCGAATTAGAATTTTACCAGATTTTTATGTTAGAATGTAAATACGTAATAATTTCGACTTTTTTGAAAAGAAAACTTTCTATTTGTTACTGAACAAGAGAGAATATATACATAAATCTTGACGAATTATAGCTAATGTAGACATAGAGTAAGAGATAGATAGAATATTCTACTTTAAATTCCGTTGATAGAAATGATTTTATTGCAATTAAATTATCTGTAAATGCATTAATATTATATCGATAATTGAAATTTTCATTTACTTTAGTCGTTGGTAACAAAATTTCAATTGACAAACGAGTGTCCTCAGAAATTTTTATTTTATTTTACTATGTCAGGCTCGTGGTCATATATTATCTTCGGAGGAGCTTTCTTTCTATTTATTTCGGTGGGATTCAGTTCCTTAAGTTCCTTAAGAGTGCTCGCGATGAGCAAACTAATACTGGACTCACACGAGAGTTTTGTTTATAATTTTAGTTGTCAAAAATGTTTATTTTTGACAGCAACAAAAATTAACAGCTAAAATTACAAACAAAAATCTTGTGTGAATCCAGTATAAAAGGTTTTTACCGCAAGTGCGCACCAGAGCTTAAAAAAATAAAATCTCTTAGTGATCGGTAAAAATTATTTATAATGAGAATGGTTAATAATTTGAATAATAAAATATAATTGGGCAGATAAACTTTTTTATTAATAATAAATCTTTTTTTCTTAATTATTTATGTACATTTTTCTCATGATTTATTCTTAACAGAATTTAATTTTAATGATTTCGTGTCATCCGGAAAAACTTTATCTTGATTTTTGTATGAAATATATAACTTTTCTGCTTTTTATACTCGATAATTACAAACGCCCTTTTTTTAAACAAAATTTGAACGTTTTATAATCAATTATCTTCGAACTTCGATTATTAAAAACCCATTTAGTGAATAATTCATTAATTCAGTGCAAAGTTATTAGAAAAGTTATTTTTAACTATTACCAAACAGATTACACGAGTCACAATTATTAAATGGGACTGTGCACAAATACACAACACGTTTAAATTTTAATGGATTTGAATTTAAAATTCCTCCTTGACATTCTTGTTTCAGAAAATACTGAACCCTCTAATTGAAAGGGATGTTCACAAATTATTTTGTAATTCATATTTAATTGCTTTCACTTAGCATTTTTAATTAATGGATTCTATGATTTCATTAAGCAAGACAATTAATTATATGTTGAAACCGTTGGATATAAAAGTAAGCAGTCGTAACTCCTACTTGAGTATTCTGAAAACCTCGTAATTGTTTTAAAAACATTTCTAAAATGGTTTTAAGCCTTAATAAAGACTTGTCAATAAAAACTTTTTACCAAATGCAATTTAAAATTTTCAAATTTTTTGCTGTGTTAAAGTTTCCGGAAAATGCTCAAAAACGCTATCATCTACTAAATTCTATACAGTTTTGGCATCTGTTGTTGATATGGTGGATACCAATGGATATTGGATTGTCCATTCATTTACTCAGTAACATTAACAGCCTGACGGAAATAATAAAGGTTTTCTTTATATTTGCAACAAATTTAAGTGCATTGGCGAAATTTGTATCCGTACGAATTTTTAATCGATCGTATACTTCAGTTTTTGAATCCATGTATAATAAGGACTTTTTACCATTGGATGCAGAGGAACATCGTATCTATATGCTTACAATGGAAAGATGTCGTTCAATGCGAAATAAATACGCAACTTTATCGATTATGGCTCTATTGACTTTAATGTGTTTTCAAGCGATTTTCGATCCGGGAAATTTACCACTTTCCACATATAACCCATTTGATTTGACCATCAGATGGCATTTCATAGTCGCATATATCTATCAGTTTATTTCAATTTCTCTTCGTTGTCTTACAAATATAGCCTTTGATTCTTTAGCTGCATCATTTTTTATCTACATTAAAGGACAAATCGATATATTAGCTTATCGCCTAGAGAATATTGGTAAAAATACTAATTTTGACGAAGTAATTACCTATCAGTTGAAGGACTGTATGCGGTTATATGGAAAGCTATTGGATCTGGCAGAAACAATGGAGAGTCACATTACAAAACAATTTTCAATACAAATATTCTGCTCAGTACTTGTGCTTATTGCTAACTTTTATGCCATGACCACTGTTAGCTATACCATTATCTCATCTCAAGTTAAACTTATTTCTTAAATTATTTCTGTTCTTTATAGATTTTAAAAGGCTTTGAAGTATCAAGTTTCATTACCTATCATATCTGCATGATGACTCAAATATTTATTATATGCTATTATCCTAATGAACTTTCTATATGCAGTGGCGAACTGTCTTATGCGGTCTACAAATCGAATTGGATAGCTTGGAATCATTCCAATAAAAAATTGGCATTGCTGATGATGTTGCGTTTCAATACGCCCATCCATATTAGAACAGTGAATCGATGTTATTCATTTAATTTGAACATGTTTACATCGGTAAGTAAATTAAAAATTGGTGTCAAACGTTATTGTGGTATAGTACATAGTAACATATATAATAGCAATATTACAATTTACTTAGCCAGCACTGAAATCTTTAAAAAAGAGCGCTCGCCAAACAAATATCATCGATTATACCGCGGAATAGTTAGCATATTAACGCGATTTGGTGGAGTTATCGCAAATGAAATAGCCATCGTTGTCCAACGCGATGTTTTAATTGTTAATCAATTTCGGTTATTGGGTCAAGTACTTGAGATCAAACATTATTCTGTGATGAATTCAGAAACTTATCTGCGATTAATTTCAATAATAGCGCGATGATATTTTGATTATTCCATGCTGTTTAATGTTGGCTGGGTATCAAAAGAATTCTATTTACACTGAAAAAAAAAATAAATACATAAGTAACTACTTTTATATTTACCATTAATTTCTTAAGCATTATAAAATATATAAAATATTTTGAAATCTTCGTTTCTTTAATTTTGCTTTATAAATTGCAATTCACAGTATTGTGAATTCGCTTCTTCTATATCAATATTAAAAATTTTTTAAATAGTTTAAAGATTATCATCACAAAAATAATTTTCCAACCTTTTACATTAACAAATATTAAAACTTTATTAATTTTTAATATTTTCAGATCGTGAATTCATCATATAGTTATTTCGCTTTATTAAAGAAAATGAATAATTGAGGATATGAAGGAAACAATTAACTAACAATTATTATGGGAAACATATTTTAATATAAATATAAATTAAAGATAAAATATGTAACTACTTAGATAATAAAGAAACAAAGGTATTAATTATTAATAAAATTAATTAGAAAATAATTCATTTATTTTGTAAATAATTATTAAGAAATATGCTTATTAATTTTAATAAATGAAAATAATATAAATAAAATTTACAATAGATTAGACAACCACTGAAAAATAATTTCGCTACGGTTAAATATTTAATATAAAATAATTTAGGAAAAGCGATGTTACCATGGGAATTCTTTACATCTCCAATTTGGATAGAAATACAGTTTTCAGAAAGCACAAATAACATGATAATTTAAATGTTCTCAAGTAGTAATTTAGTTATCGATATAATGAATTAGTTTGCAATTTATCTGTAAAAAGCTTTTTCTGTAAATTGCAAGATTCACCATCATAGCCGGTTATAACTTCAATATGTCTCAATAATACTTAAACTTGATTTATAATTAATTTTTAGTTAAGTAGGTTTAGTTGTTTAAGTTCAAAAATTTATACATAATAACATTTATGGTACCATATCTTTATGGTGCCATATATTATATTCATTTGCTTAAATGCGTATTATAATTCTCACTTAGTATAGCTAATACATACTATATAATTCAAACTTCAAGCAATTTTATCCGTTGTGATTTTAATAAGTGACTAATAATAAAGGACTAATAATGAAGTATTATATCTTTGAGGGTGGTATTCCATAACCAGCCAAAGTTAATTAATTAAAGAGAAAAAATTGTGAACAGCGTGGTATGTACAAAATACTTATAATAAGGTGATGTTAAAAAAACAATGGGAGCAACCAGCGAGTTAGGGTTATGTTATATAGACCATATGATTGTGGTGTACTCATCGTTTCAAGTCATAAGACTGTTTGCCATTATGCTGAGACCCGACCCATAATCTGGAAACAAAGAGTCGTTCTGTTGTCATATTTAAGTTAAATGCGGAAATTTAAATCAATAACGTAACACCATTCATTAATTAAACAAAAACGATATGTTCTACATGACTATATGTAGTTGTCAGAGCTGCATCAGCCCAAATAGTAACTTAGCTTTAGTACACTTAAATGTATTAAGTAAGTAGCGATTCTTTATGCAAACAATTAATTGTTTTCATTGCATTTATCTCTTATTATTTAAGACCACAAATATTTTAATTAAATCCATATAGCATGCGCATTAAATAACCAGAAATTATTTACTAATGGAGTGAAAACCAGAAGTGAAAATAACGATCATAAATATTCAAATTTGCAATAATAGGTTAGCGTACTCACCATTTATCGAAGTATCATATCTGAATCTTATCTAGTAATATTATATACCAACGGCAACCAAAACTACTTTGTTAGTGAAATTTAAATATAAATATAGTCATTTCCATTTGCATAAGCTGATTTTTGTATGTAAAATAGCTTGCTTATTTACATTTTACATGTAAAACATATTTCAAATTTCGATGATTTGCCTTGTGGGAATTTAGTCGATTTATATATAATGAACTCATTTATAAAGAAAGTTCTTTGTTTGGTAAATAATACTCATTAGCAACTTTAATCAGTAAGACTGCTTAAATGAGACAGTAGAAACGTGAATACATCAAATTTATCGCCGAAAACTTGTTATGGAAAGTTTCTTTAAAATAGATTTATAAAACTTAAAAATTGTCAAAAAATTGAACTTTTTGAACAAGTGCCCACCATAATGTGGCAATATATTTCAAACTAAATATAGCAACCAAGTGATCGGTTTTCACTTAATCCTAGTATTAAAACCTATTCCGCACGAAAAATTGGCACAAAACCGCAAATAAATAAAATGTTCTATTTTTTGCAACATTAATAACACGAAAATACGTCTCTGGTTAATTGATGCCCTTGCTACCATAAATGTCATTTCATTTCCATTCATTCCTTCTATAACAAACGCGTAATTGTTTATATTGACATTCCGCAGGTGACATCAGAGACCGCGTTTGTTTAATAAATTGAGATAAATATATAACAAAAGAATTAATATGAATATTGTAAAAGAGGAAATTGATATAAGTTCAATTGGATATGATGAAGATGTGTTTTTTGAAACAGAGGATGACAATAGTATTGGCAGCAGCTATGACATCTTAGAAGGTTCTGTAGAAGGTAACTTCGAATAAAGCATTTCGTTGTTTTTTATATGTATTTTTGTATTGTATGTTTATTTTTTTTCAATATTAAGAAGCTGATTTCTTATATATACCAGATGATAATTTAGAGACATATTTGAGCGCTTCAATACGAAGTAACTTAATGGAGTTGGATTATGACTGGAGAACTGAATGCAATGTAAGCGCTGCGATATATTTGTAAAATAAAAATGATTTATTTTTATATTATATTTTATAAGTACTGTGCGGAATCTTTCAAAACTTTTCAAGAACTTTTAAATCATATCTATAACAATCATAACACTATAAATAACGAGCTCCATTGTGTTTTAAGGGACTGCACAGAGGCATTCGCTAATGAGAAATTACTAACGCGCCATATAATTTTTCTTCATGGTGACCTAAACAAGTATGTAAAAATGTTGTCTTTTAAATCAACACTAGTTGATAACTCAAATATTTATCAAATATATATTAAAATATAATCCAAGGTTAAAAATATATGGTTGCTGCTCTGACTGTGGACTGCCTTTCTCGAACTTTTTGGTGCTTAACAAACATTCTTGTTATCAAAAACTTAAACTTAAATCTGGATTAAGGCTCCATTGCAGTGATTGCCAGATGGACTTCCAATCATTTAAACGGTATACTCTCATCCAATATATTATTATTCAGAATTTAGAGGAAAACTTCTAACTTTTCTAATTGCAGGTATAAATTTCATTTGCAGTTTCATTTGATAAAGCATAGGCCCAAATGCTGCTTAATTTGTGGTTTGAACATAGCAGACGATAATGAATTATTTGAACATGTACAATATTTTCATGAACAATCGGATCAATTGACTTGCACTTGGTAAATATAAAATTTATACAAGTCAGAATTTTCTTAATAATTATTCTTTTACAGTTGCGATCGCATATTTAAGGACAAGGAGCGGTTTGAAGCACATTGTAACACTCAAAAATCTAACTTAAAATATTATTGCGATTTCTGTCCAAAGAAATATGCCAATAAATCTATACTTGCAACGCATATGGTAAATTTAAAAGCATTTTTAATGTAATTAAAAACATTCAAAAAGTAAATTCAATCTATAGAAAATTTCTCACCTTGCGGGAAATCCAGTCTCCTGCACATATTGCAACAAACAATTTCCAAATTCTATTTGCCGTTCATATAAAAATCATATAAAAAACCATGAACTAATTGAATCGCAGGTACAAAGTTTTATCTGTACAACATGCGGTTTAATCACGAGGGACGAAGCCAACTTAAATGTAATTGAAATGAAATAACATAATTATCTTTATAATATTTACATATTGATTATTTAGAATCACTTAACATGTAATAAACCGACGCTCGAAGAGGAAATAATCACATATGCATATACCTGTGAGTTCTGTTCATCGAATTTTAAGAGCGCTTACCATTTGCAGACGCATCGTGCAACTCGCATACATGACGACAATCTTTACCATTGTTTAACGTGTGAAGAAAACTTTACGTGTTATAAAAGCTTACGCACTCATGAAAAATATCATTCAGTTGATCAATGGAAATTAGCTCTGAGTAGAGTCTTTATGTGCGCTGTTAAGGTAAGTACTAACTGATTATATTATAAAATTTTGTAATAATTGTGGTTCCTTACACAAGGGATGTGGAGAAACATATGTACAGTGGAGTGGGTATCATAGTCATAAAACTCATTGCCATTTAGAAGAGACATGCGTCACATGCAAAGAAACATTTAAGAACACTGAACAACTAGCAGAGCACATGGAAACATGTAGTAATACACGGGCTTTTACGTGTCAATTTTGTAAAAAAGTTTGTCCAACCAAAATGTCTTTAGCCGTACACGTTGCAAGAAGTCATAATAATAGTAAGTAGTTTATAATATATATAAATATTTATTGGCTATACCTTGAGTGTATTGCTAAGATCATTTATCTTTACTTTAACTTAACCGATACCTTAAATTATATTGTTGTTTTATAAAACTTGAAAATTTAAGTGTCAAAAGAATAATTCGCATTCCAACTTTAAATAAGAATGTGTGCAATAGAACCCCAGAAATATCTAACAAAATTGAGAATTCACTTGGATAGTTTACAAGTTCCTCGGCATACATAAAGCTCTTCATTACTTTATAAGTTACAAAATCTTTTTTGAATAGACGTTAATTTCTAAAGTGCGAATCTTTATTGAAATAAATCCTGACGAATCTTTTGGAGTGTATACGATGTACCAACTTTAAAAGAAATTGCAAATGGATAGCTCATAACATATTCGATATTAATAAAGATGTTAATCGAATTGTAAGTAACGTTTTATATGGGAGCTACTAAAGTAAGAACTTTTATATGTATATATATATCAATTAAAATTAAATTAAATAGTGTAAATATCATACAAATTGATAGACGAATTTTGGAAAAAAAAATCATATTAATTAGATTTTTTTCTGTATGCTGGTTACCTTAAAAATGACAATGAATAGAAACGTTATAGCTCATAAATAATATCAATGAGGTAAAATATGGAGAAAGGCTTTCCGCCTTTGATACTAAGGCCGCATCTTCTTTAAGGCCACGGTTGTATTAGAACAAGGTTTACGACATGCTTCCTTCTGAAATTTTCTGGTATTAAAGATGGTTACTGGTTATAACATCTGTTACTAACAGATGTCCCAACTGCAGCTACGTTCTTCATAATTGGTTTATCTGTTTTCATTTTAACAAATTTGAGCTGTATTGATTTATAGCTTCGCTCTATTTAGGAATGAGGTTTCTTTTTAACT